TGTGTGTGGGGAGGGCAGGGCCCCTGCTGTTTCCTGGAAGCTGAGTGCTTCACAGATGGGAAGGGGCTGTTTTCTGCATCCTGAGCCTTCATCCCCGAGCATCTCCTGTGCTTCTCAAGCAGAGCATCTCCTGCTGGATGTCCCACTGGCACATCATATCAGTGTGGATCATCCACCTAACGCCACAGCATCAGTGCTGGTGGGCTCATGCAGTCTCATATGATCAGACCCACAACTTGCAACTCTTATCTGGTAATGCCTTCCTGTCCCTGGTGCTTTCTGTCCCTGCTGACAGCACCAGTTTCTGCTTCCTCTCCCAGGCTTGCAACTTCTGGTTTGATCTTTTTGCCCTTCACACAAAACAAACAGGCTCAGCTCCTTCTCCCCAAGGACTCGCTCAGTGTCTTTCTCAGGGTCTTCCTTAGGAGCTCTGGCTGAGACTCAAGCTGCCTCTCCCTCCTGAGTTCTCTTCTTTCTCTCACATTTGTTTTTACACTGCTGATGTTATACCTCCAGCTTACAGTTTGTTTAATCCCCAAAACTTAAGCATGCTCATATCTGCATCTACTTTCTATCTCACTGTTCCAACACAAATTTAGTAATGCAGATATTTGGTTTCACTTTTTTTTTTCTACAGTTCTATGTTTAAATCACATCTAAGCTATTCATCTTAAAAGCTCTTCATAATCTTAAATTGTGTTTTAGCACCTCTCTGCCCTACTATCATTCTTACTGTAAATTCAGAAAAACAGTACTTTAAAACATCAAAATGTCTTTTTCCTTTATTCCACAGACTTGGAGAATATACTCTCATCTGAGTCACATGCTCCTGTAGTTCTGTCATCAAAAGCAAGCCTGTTATTTCTGTGCTTCATATCAACCCCACACATCCTCTTTCTTTGCTCTGGAGTCAGAGCCTTAAGGAATCTGCCCCTTGGAACATGGTCCTACTTCTGTGCCAAACATCCTCCCTGCAGTCCTTTAGAGAAGGATTCATGATGCATCAGGAAGCAACCTTGTGCCTGGCTTCACTAGAGTAGGTGCACTGCCCAATCAGCCATCCCTCTGCTTCCTTTATGTGTTATATCACTCAGTGCCCAACATAGCTGTCAAGAGAGGTGCGAACAACCTATGGTTACAGAAAATTCAGGAAAAGAAACGGATAGGCAGAAATCCAGCAACATATTTATATTTATATTTATATTTACATTTACATTTACATTTACAGTTACAGTTATATTTATATTTATATTTATATTTATATTTATATTTATATTTATATTTATATTTATATTTATATTTATATCCAGCAATATATTAACTGTGTTTACTCTGTAAAATGGGACTGGCAGTAATAAAGCTGTAACCTGCTGCCACAGCTCTTGGCAGGGATATTTCATGAGTAGCCACCATACTATTCTGAGACTTTCCTCTCCTCTCTTCTTTGTCACAAATTTGGCACTGACAGCACGTGGAAGGTGGTGGGAGCCCTTCAGTCAGCTCCAGAGAGTTTTCATCTTTGTTTTTGCTCTGTTATTACCACCTGCTCCTAATTCTTGGAGATCCATACCCACCAAAGTCACAGGGGAGCCATTAGAGATGGATCACTGCTTGGGACGGGAATCATAGAATCACAAGGTTGGAAAGGACTGACAAGATCATCTAGTCCAACCGTCCTCCCATTACCATTGCTACCACAAATACTAAACCATACTTAACAGCTCCTCATCCAGAGGCCTCTCGAACACTGCCAGGGACAGCGACTCCACCACCTCCCTGGGCAGCCATTCCAGTGCCTGACCATTAGATTAATGTGAGTACGTAAATTAAAAGACATGAGTACATATGAAATATGGAGTCATAGAATGATAGAATCATTAAGGTTGAAAAAAATCTTTAAGATCATTCAGTCTAACCATCAGTCCACCACCACCATGCCCAGTAATGACAAGCCCCATTGCCTTGTACCATCAATTTATCACAGAATGAACTTGATATTGGTCAGTACAACAGGAAGGTATGAGTAAGGTTGAGAAGAGCTGGTTCTGTTGCACCATAACACTGGCTGCCAAACAAATGGGTGTATACGGACTCCGAATACATTTGGGATGGAAATTTGGTGGTTTCCAACCTTCAGAGAAGTTCCAAGATAACACTCTAAAGGTGAGATGAGGACAAGACACTGATGCTCACCTTGATGACAATAGGCAGGCTGGTGTGAAATGATGGCTTTAGGAGGAGGGGAGCAGATGCAGTGACCCAATCTTTTCTTCTGAACATTGGAGACCACTTGCATTTTTGGTTGGCTGCAGAATTAACCTGGAACACAACTTACTTTTGGACAAGGGGAAACATAAAATATCGCTGTGATGATTATGCATTCCAGATGTTTTTCTCTGTGTCTCTCCACACCCACTTCTGAGGTGGGGGCTGAGGTGCTCACTCCAGCCCCGTTGCCTTTACCTCCCTGTGTTCAGGCCACCACGGGCAGCGTCCCTTGCTGGCACCCCTTCTCAGTTGGCCAGCTCTGCCTGACACGGATTAAGGAGCTCTCATGTGATCCCCGCAGCCGGTAGAGCTGGTACAGCCACAGAGAGAGGCAATAGGAAGCTGCTGGAGGGCAGGAGCCTGCAGCTGGCACAGCCTCTTTGCAATGTGACCCCTGATCTTTGCTTCTGATCTTCCTTTGGCCTTGCGGGAGCATGCTGCGTCATTTGGCCTTGGCTGTGTTACGCTTCACTCACAGGGGTGAACTCCAAGCAGTGCAATTGCCCTGTGTGGGTGTGCGAGGCTGCTGTAAAGGCGATTACAGCCAAGTGCTTTATTGGCATGCCATGAGCTTATCAAGGCTGTAACGTTGAGTAGTTTTCAGAGGGCAGCTACTACAAACACTGAGAAGCTGAATGATCCAGACACAAAGCAGGTCACTCATGTCACAGCTTTTTTGTGAGCCGCCAACAAGCACCTTCCCCAGGAAGGGTCGTGGCTTTAAGGGTAGTCTGTGCACTTTGATGGAATCTGGAGGCTCCCAAGCCCCAAGGCTGCCTTGCTGGAGTGGCAGCAGCCTGTCCTTCTGCCCTGGGTTGCAGCTTCAGCTACATATGTGCACGTGACTGTGGGTAACCAGGCACAGAACTGCTTCCAGTCTCCTCCTAATGGTGTTTTCCTGGCCACAAATAGCAAGTGGAGATGCCTATCTCTCATCTGTGTTCCCAGCCGTGCTGCTGGTGCACACAAGCAAGGATGCGGCACTGGGAAGTACTGTTTTAATGCAAGCTGATGTTTAACACACTGTGTGTGTGTTCTGCTGAGGTAGGCAGTCCGAGGGAGAAAATAACTAAATCTCACTTTTCAGAGCTGTTAGACAGCTATTTCTGTGGCTGTGAGGTGGCCACCAGAACCCCATTACGGGTGGCACCCACAAAGTGGCACAGTGAAAGCTCTGTGCTACCAGTCCTGCCAGCCCCCACATCCGGAGCACTCAGAACACATACATGTGGCTCCTGTAGCTGGCTTGGTGGTTCTTTGATCACAGCACTGATTTGGTGATCTTTCCCACATTCCCTGATTTCCAAAGTCATTTATTTCAGACTTGGGCTCTGGCCAGCTGCGGGAGCACAGCCCAAAGCTGCCCTGTTGCCATCTCTGCCAGCCTGCTTGTGCACAGTGAGCCACTGAATCGCAGAATCATAGAATCACAGAAAGGCTTGAGTTGGAAGGGACCTCTGAATACATCCATTTCCAATCCCCGGCTGTGGGCTGGTTGTCACTCATCAGATCAGGCTGCCCAGGGCTCATCCAACCTGGCCTTGAGCACCTTCAGGGATGGGGCACCCACAGCTGCTCTGGGCAGCCTCTGCCCAGAGCCTCACCACCCTCTGAGTAAATAATTTCTTCCTTATATCTAACCTACTTCTTCCCTCTTTTAGTTTAAAACAGTTAAAACATGTTGCTGAAGGCAAGTCTGACCCACCTGGCTCTCCTGGCTCACACCATGGGCATGCAAGGCCTCTATTTCCTGTCCAGCACTCTGTGCCTGGCTTAAAGTGCAAGACCACAGGGGCTTACAATTTGGAAGAAGCCCCATTCATACCATCGCTTTGTGCCTTTTCACAACCATTCCTGGAGCTGGGATCGTTTTTACCATCTGCACACATTTTAGAGATTACTTTGAAAGACTTAAACTGGATATAAGGAAAAAGTTATTTACCATAAGGATGGTGAGGCACTGGAACAGGTTGCCCAGAGAGGTGGTGGATGCTCTGCCATTGGAGACATCAAAGGTCGGACTGGACAGGACTCTGTGCACCTGCTCTAGCTGTAGGTGTCTCTGTTTGGTGCAGGGGAGTTGGACCAGATGCCCTTTAAGGGTCCCTTCCAACTGAAAGATTCTATGGTTCTGCAATTCTCTGCAACCTCACAGAGGTGGCTGTGGGGCACGTGCAGCTGGGGGGGCTCACCGGGTAACTCAGGCTGTGCCTGCAGCTGGGACACACGGGAAGGTGTCAGGGTCACTTGCTGGAGAGAGAAAAAATAGTGCAAAAAATAAAAATCATAGAACGCTGAAGCTTTCAGTTCCAGCCCGGAATTGAGAATACCTTTCATTTTTACATAGTTGTTAAATAAATAGAAAAGGAAAATCATGCTTGTTTTGTCCTTATTTCTCCATGATTTTTTCTTTTTGTATATTTCACCTTTCCTCCCCCCACCCCCCCCAGCCCTCACAGGACCGCTAAGCCACCTCCCCCTCTTCTCTGCGGGCTACTCTTCCCGGGGTACCGATGCCATCCAACCCTTGACCACCGGCCGAACGGGGAACTGCCGGAATACCCCATTTCCACGCCGTCCAACGCTCTCTGCTCCCCGTCCCCGCTGACCCCGCTCCCCGTCCCGCTGCACTCAGTGCGAGCTCCGCGTTCTGCCCCGGGCTGCGGCCGGCGGCGGCGGCGGCGACGGCGGCGGCGGGGGGCGGTGACGTCACAGAGCCGCTCGCCAGCACAACGTTCCATTGAGGCGAGCGCGTGCTCCGGCGAGCACATGGGCAGAGCGGCCCGCACCGCTCCGCTCCGCGCCGCTCCGCTCGGCCCCGCCGCCGCCGGACCCCAGCCCGGGAAATGGGGGGGGGGCGCGGTGAGTAGCGGGGCTGCAGGCGAGCGGGTGGTGGGGGGGGCGGCTTTTGGTCTGATTTTATTTTTTATTAATGATCTGCATTGTTATTATCGCTCTATTTTTTTTTTTTTTATTACTTCTTATAATTTTTATTCTTACTGCTTATCTGTTTTCCTTTTTGCTATTTTTACGGATTTTTTTTTCCTTACAACCTTCCCCCCCCCCCCCCCCCCTCACCCCTCCCCTTTTTGCTGTACGTTTCCCTTCGCTAGGCCTTGCAGGAGTTTGCAGCTTGGCCGCGGGGCTCGTGCAGATGGAGGGGGGCGGGGGGGAGGTGTTGCATTTTATATATTTTTGATATTAATTCTTTTTAAAGCGCTGCGTCGACGGAGGGCTAAAAATAGCCGTTGCCAAAGCGGAATCCGCGCGGATGGGGAGGAAAAGGGCTCGGAGTGCCCCCCCCGGCGATGCATCGCTGCGATAAGGCCGGGGGGTGCGGAGGCAGCCGTAGACGGGAGGCGAGGAGGGAAGGGATGCCCCGAGCCCCATAGTGGGGCAGGGGGGTGATGGGAGCCTGGCCTTACTGCTCCGGGGCGCAGCGTGTACCTTGGGTGTCATCTGGGGCACTGGGAGGAAAATGCGAGAGGTTCCAAGGCTGTCTTTTCCTTAAAAATCCGCCTTTTGGTTTTATTTCTCATTTATCTATTTGTTTATTTCTGTACTTTAAAGTGCAACTTAATTTCCAGAGGCCACCTTTGGTGTTTGCCTGTCAAAGAGTATTACAGTGTTTCCACGCTTTAGGACTTGGGTCCTAAACTGAGAAGCCCGCTGGCAGCCGCATCTCTGGGCACACGGAGGGGTGATGCCCGTAGCGATGCCCGTGGCCCCGCCTGAAAGATGCTGGAGGCCCGTTGCCCATCGCACTGACAAGTTGAGGCTTGTTTTGCTTGTCCAAGGCTGTGGGCAGGCGGAGGGAGTCAAATACCCCACACCACTTCCTTCTTCTTAATGCGTGTCTGCAAAGCTAGGCAGTAATGAGAGCGCTGGTTTGGAGAGCATTGTTTGGGTGATGCGCTTTCCGGGGGGGCATAGTGACACACGGCGTGGGTCAGGGCAGAGAGCACTACCGTGCACGTGCCATGGCTGTGCAAAGTGAGATTTCTTCGTCGAGCAGAAATACAATCTCATTACTTCCAGCTTGTGCCAAATGGTTTGGATTAGCGTAAAAGCACGCCTATCTGTTGCTGTAGAATATATTTAAAAAATCTCACTCTGAAGCGTTGACATCACCGTAAGAAGTAATGCTGCAATGCAATATTTGATTACATCTCAGAGACACCATTTTCCTTTTCTCTGTGATTTTAGAAATTGTGTAGTAGGGATGTGTGCTTTCTGAGCACGTGGAGCAGCCAGGTGCTGTGCTGGGTGCCATGTGTGATGCATGCTGGCTCACATCCACGGAGCTTAGTGTGTGCTATATACGTTGTTAGCTTCATGTTAGAAAACCTCTAACTTTTGCTTTTTTCCCTTTTCTCACAGTAAGTGTGGCTTACTCCTGGGTTAGGATGCCATAATTCAGGTAGATGTGGCTGTGCCTTTGTGTGCAGGCAGTGAGGTGTACAAGTGCACTGCGTCAGCCCTTGGGAGTGCCTCTGTACCTGTTTGGTGTGGGACACGCTGTGCACCTCCAGCATCCTTGCACAGCGTGAGCACTGCAGGCCGAGGTGCTGCATCCCCTGCTTGGGCTGCGTGCTGACGTCCTCGTGCTGTCAGAGCAGCTTGGCAAGAGTGAAAATAAGGAAGGGCTGGTGACTGCTTCTGCTGAAAGCTGTGCGTGTTGCAAAAATGAATAATGTATAGGAATTAGTTCTTAAAATGGAAGATGGGCTCCCTGTGTGAAGTTCCGTGCATGGAATACAACTTCCGCAGGAGCTGGCTGCTCTCTGAGGCTGGGAGCTGTGTGCCGGCGGCACAGCTCGTGTCGCAGCTCTGCAGCTGTGCTGTTCTCTCTCTGCCGAACTGAAGCCTAGGTTTCTGCTCCATCAAGGGCTGTATCTGCTCAGCTTTGAGTGTATGCCTAATTCTCTGAAGGATCTGAGCCATGTCTTCCTGTTTTTAATCAGAATGCTGTGCAAAGAGGGCTTTCAGTTGGTGGCTGCGTGTATCTCAATAACTTTTATAAAGGAATTACTGCAGTGCTGAGGGTGTGGAGGAAGACCGGGGGAAAAAAACTGTATCTACCATCTCTGAATGTATCAAAATATCATTGTGTTCTTCTGTCACCTTTCTGAAGTGAATGTTCAGTGGGTTACTACAGTGTCACTGCTTTTCTGTAGTTGTGCTGGAGCAGCCCTACTAGGAATTGCAAGGTAGGGCTTACACACGTGACATCTTCATAAAAAAAACACATCTGTACATACACACTTTTTTTTTCGCCCATTGGTCTGTGCAAACAATAGCACTGATGCCATGTCAAGGGCAGGATGCTGATTTTTGTGATCTGGGAAGTGTTTCCATGGCTTGTAGGAACCCTGGGCCTCATCTTTTGTTCCCTATCTGTGAGTATAGTGGCAACTCTCTGGGTATTGGCAGGGCATTGGGTGCTTCAAGCATTGCAGCATGGAGCAGTGCTGGGGGCTGTCCACATAGACTGCTGTCACTGGTGTGAGCAGTGTGGTTGTCATGTCTGGTGTTGGCTGTACTGAGCAATGGAGGAGGAGGAGTGAGATGGTGTCAGCCATGCGCAGGCACTGCAGAGGGCTCTGCCTGAGCCTTGGTGGGTGTTCTGCCCCCATCCTTTGCTGCTGGCCCAGGGACAGCACCAGCACAGGGTCCTGCTGTATGAGCTGAGAAAGGTGCAGAGCTGCAAAGCAAAATAGCAGAGAGGAAGATGTGTACCTGATCAGGAAGCTTCTGGCTGTTTTTTGCAAGGTGATACAGATCTTACTTTGAAGCACAGGATGATGTGTTGTTTTCTGTCTCTTTGCTGGCTCATAGCTTTAATACCAAACACCTGCTTAGTTCCTGGCTAGATTTATGCAGAGCTTGTTGTGGGGAATAAAGAAATTATCCATCTCTTTGGCCCATTAGCACTGTGCATGGGCCACATTTTCTCTCGTCACAGCTGCATCTCTTCCTAGTCAGTGTGTGTTAATGCAGCATGGCGTCCTGACAGGGCAGGCTGTGCTGCCTGTGCAGCCCAACGTGGTTCATTGATACCTGCGGATGCAGCGCCTGCCCTGTGCTTGCCGTGCTCCTGAGGGTCAGGGCAGAACAGCATTTGTCAGAGTTATCAGTGTTGTGGTAAAGCAGTGTTGCTGAGTGTTTCCAGGTGTGCACAGCCAACCAAGCTGTTTGCATGCCAGGTCTGTATGATTTAAATGCTTTTTATTGCATCCTGAGGTGGTGTCAAATTCTTTATGTGACCTCCAGGTACAGGTGTGAGTATCAGCATGGAGCTGTATCTTGCAGCTGGGGCTGGCTGAATATCTCAGGTTTATCCTGCCTGTGCTGCAGCCCTTGCAGTCACATCCTCGCTGCTGTTGATACCTTAGGTTTCTTGGTGGTTGCACCTGCCATACCCTCGACAGAAAAATGATTCATATGTGAGTTGCTGCCTATGGTAATACATCAGGCTATAAGAAGTTCTGTTGTGCAGCAGTGAGAGTCGTCACTAGAACCTGTGCTGGGAAGCCAGGCAGGTCAGGAGGCAGCCCAAATTAGAAATTATGGCACAAGGCAAGGGTGATTAGCCACTGGAACAAATTACCAAGAGGAGGCATTGGTCATTTCCGCCTTCAAAACCTGGAAAAAGCAGCAGAAGATGTTTTGTATGGAAACTATTGATGGGTCCCTGCAAATCAGTTCCTTTGACAAGAGAAGGGAGATTTGGCCATGCGCTCTCCCAGTTTGGTTGTGCAGGCAGTAGGAGCTGCTTGGTTCTGCAGAGCATGGGCTGAGCTGGTGAGGAAATGCTTCCAGCACTGTGCATTTACACGGAAGAGTGGTGTTTCTATGAGATGTTTTGGAAGGCAGCATTTTCTATGAGAGTCACTTCTTCAGTGCCTTGATTGAGAATATGAGGTTGAGATGCTCTTCTGCTTAAAACCTTTTATTGTATTACTGGTCAGAGCCAACTGGAGGCTTTTCCAGGTGCTGGTCCGAGCCCTTGGGAAGTAGTGACAGAGGTCCTATAGGAAGCTCCCACAGGCTCTCCCATGTTCTGGTGGCAGAGATCTGTGGCTCAGGAGCAGTCCCCAGAGCTGTAGGTTGCTTCCTTAAGGGGTGCTGAAGAGAAGAGGTGGGTGGAATATGCAAGGCCACATGCCAGCACATAGAACAGCTTTTGGAGGACCATGATCTGAGTGTTGTTGGGAGCCCCCAGACTCTGAAGCAGTCCACTGCAGGATCTGTAACCATCTCTTTTTGACAACAGGAGCTGAGCAAAATTCATGCAAAAATGAAGTGCATTGCGTTGCCTTATGTGGCTCCCTGCCCAGGCAAGGGGTGAGCCCTGCACAACTGGAAAGGGCTTGCCGGCTGTGCAAGGAGCGAGTGGTGCAAGAAACTGGAGCCTTGCTGCTGCTTGTGTGCTACTGACGTAAATGTAGTAACATAAACGTGGTGTTGTGTGCTGGTTAACCCGGGGAAAGCAGCAGCCGTGGGCTATGCTTGTCCTGTGTCACTGCACATGGGATGTGAAACAATGGCCAAAGCACAAACTGCCCTCAGACCCTTTGTGTTTTATCTCCTCCAAATGGAAGAAATTCTAGCATGTCTTTTTGTTGATGTTGAAGTTTGTTTTTCAGTATTAACATAGCCCTGCTGTAGCTGACCGTAGACGTGGTAGCCCCAAACCCCTTTGTTTCAGTTGATGTTGCCAGTAGTTAGTTGTACCTATCAATACAATGATCTACAGTTTGGCACACTGAACAAAACACTACTGTGCCTCTGTTTGGAAATATTTAGTAACACTTCCAGCTTCATTTAAATAATAATGGCTTGTTTATTTTATTTTATTT